TGGAATTTCTCTTCAGACTAACCTGGCTACCAAGAACCATTTTCAGGCCATTCACATCTTTCCTCCCCTCTCAGACTGCAACATTTGGGCATAACACGTCACCAGAATGCATCTCACCATGATATTACACCAAATACTACACCAAAAAGCTCTGGGGAAATTCAAAAGTTTGCTCCCTAAATAGTGATATCTTGGTTGGTCCTCATAAAATTTTTTACACAAACAAATGTTTTTGGAATTTCTCTTCAGACTAACCTGGCTACCAACAACCATTTTCAGGCCATTCACACCTCGCCTCCCCTCTCAGACTGCAACACCTGGGCATAACACATCACCAGAATGCATCTCACCATGATATTCTGTAAAACCTAAAGATTATAAAGAATTGTCTGCAATTTTTATGGTTTCTGGAAGGTTGATTTGTGTGCTGAGGTATTCGTCAAGAAAACTAGGACATTCTATCCCATTTATTTTGATATTTATATGCTGCTTTCCTCTCCAATGGGAATCCAAAGTAGCTTACAACATCACCACGGAAGCTTGGGCAACTTTGGGCCAGTCACACACTCTCAGCCTAACCTACCTCACAGGGTTGTTGTGAGATTAAATTGGAGGAGAGGGAAATGGTGTAAGCCGCTTTGGGTTCCCATTGTGGAGAAAAGTGGGATATAAGTAACGAAATAAATAAGCAAATAAATCCTGTGGGGAAGGTTGGGCCGGGGTAAAGAGTGACTGGCCCAAAGTCACCCAGCAAGCCTCCATTCTCGTTTCTTGAGGTCCAGCTCCTTGTTTAGTACTTGAGCATTGTGCACTGTTGTTACGCACCCCCCCCCACAGGCATGCACCACAGCTTTTAGTTTTGTGTTTTAATGTTTTTAATAATTTCATATAAGGTGCCTCAAGAACTTTTCGGATGATAGCATGGCTTAAAAATAATTTAAATAATAACACCCCCTCCCCCACAGTACACGTCTAAAAAAAACCCCCTTTAATTGTGTTCACATGAACCTTTCATTTTGTAAGATATCAGTTGTGATTTCAGTAACCAGAAACATCGAGGTAACCGGTGGGTTCTGACAGCCTATTATTAGTCCATCAAGATGTGATGATCTCACCACACGAAGGCGCTTCCTTTCGGCTGAAGGCAGTTCTTCTGAAAGGACAAATCAACGATTTGGGGTAGGTTGTGATGAAGGCTTTAGAGAGCCAGTGGCCATCTGATTCATGTGGCTGCCGGAACTAAAAATTACTGCTATGGAAGGAGAGGTGGAGGGGGTGAAGGGGACTGGGGACGGAAGATAGCCTAAGTCAAAATCAAAACCATGGACAGTTCAAGAATAAGATACTTCCTAACATATATTGGTTTTGTTGCAAACATTTCTGTTCTGCTAATAATGGAGGCTTCCTCTGATGGTAGAGGTGAACACCTTGCAGAAGAGAAAGGCTCCACGGTTAGTGGAACAGAACCGTTGGAGCCGAACAATAGTTTGTGAACATTTATATTTACTTTATATCCTGCCTTTCACACCGATGGGAAATAAGATACTTCCTAACATATATTGGTTTTGTTGCAAACATTTCTGTTCTGCTAATAATGGAGGCTTCCTCTGATGGTAGAGGTGAACACCTTGCAGAAGAGAAAGGCTCCACGGTTAGTGGAACAGAACCGTTGGAGCCGACCAATCGTTTGTGAACATTTATATTTACTTTATAGTATATTATATATACTTTATATCCCGCCTTTCACACCGATGGGAACTCAAAGTTCAGCACTTTAACCACTACACCATACTGGTGCAGACATCCAGGCCAGCATTTCGCATGATGTACTCTGCATATATATTAAATAAGCAAGGTGACAGTATACATCCTTGTCGTACTCCTTTTCCTATGCTGAACCAATCAGTTGTTCCGTATCCGGTTCTAACTGTCGCTTCTTGGCCCTTATACAGGTTTCTCAAGAGACATGTGAGGTGGTCTGGTACTCCCATCTCTTTAAGGACCTGCCATAGTTTGTTGTGATCCACACAGTCAAAGGCTTTAGCATAGTCAATGAAGCAGAAGTAGATATTTTTCTGGTACTCTCTTGCTTTTTCCATAATCCAGCGAATGTTGGCAATATGATCTCTCGTTCCTCTACCTCTTCGAAACCCAGCTTGTACTTCTGGTAGTTCTCTATCCACGTACTGTTGAAGCCTAGCTTGTAGGATCTTGAGCATGACCTTGCTAGCGTGTGATATGAGTGCAATTGTGCGATAGTTTGAACATTCCTTGGCATTGCCCTTCTTTGGGATTGGAATGTATACTGACCGTTTCCAATCCTGTGGCCACTGTTGCATTTTCCAAATTTGCTGGCAAATTGAGTGCAGCACTTTAGCAGCATCATCTTTTAAGACTTTGAATAGCTCAGCTGGAATACGAGTCGGACTCGACTGTGCGACTGAACAACGACGACGACAACAAAAAAGGTAAAGGTTTCCCTTTCTCGAAAGCCAATCGAATCCGACTCTAAGGGGCGGTGCTCATCTCCATTTCCAAGCTGAAGAGTCAGTGCTGTCCGAAGATTTTTCTATGGTCATGTGGCCAGCATGGCTAAACGCTGAGGCGCACGGAATGCTGTTACCTTCCCACTGAAGCACTACCTATTTATCTACTTGCAATTTCTTGCTTTTGAACTGCTAGGTTGGCAGGAGCCGGGGCCAGAGATGGGAGCTCACTCTGTCACGTGGCACTAGGGTCTCAAACTGCCAAGCTTCTGACCTTCCAGTCTGCAATTCAACGTCTTAACTTCTGAGCTGGTTACTTTTACTCAATTGCAGCACTTTGTAAACTTTTGGTGCCTTTAAAAGTATTCGCTGATGATTATAAAGAAGAAATGCTGGACAATTACTGATGCAAATCCTACAGGAAGTTGGTCCAGTTATCCATTTGGGTCAGACCTTGATCATGGGTAATTAAATCTTCCAGCATCAGCAGCTGAATGGGAAGGAAATGCAGTGACTCAGAACTGTTTCTATTGTAAATTTTGCAGACAGTTAAAAACACTGAAAACAACATTGTCAATATTCATTTGAAAGCATGAGGAAATCTCCCCATGAATTCCCCATTAACTGCAGTATTAACTCACCATTTAGCAGAGTCTTCTAGTCCACAGCTCTTTGTTAGAGAAGCATAGGAATCAAACATCGCTTTTAATTTTTTCCCTATTCATTCTTCTTGTTCAAAGTCAACATTTATTAGGTTTTTATCTCAACCATTCTACCCTCGCAACACTCTTCTGAGATAAGCTGAACTGAGAGAATGATTGGCCCATAGTCACCCAGTGAGCTTCATGACAAGGTCGGGATTTGAACCTGTCCTGTCCATTCTGTAAACCCAGGGGTCATTTCGTAGAAAAAGAGGTGCAGGACTGAGGGCTGCTGGGAGCAGGGGGTGGGGCTTGTTGCATGTGCCCGCCCCCTGGGCTCTTTACTGCTGGAGCTCCGCTCCTGTGCGCTCCTGCAGGAAATGACCCCTGTGTAAACCACTACACTGCACACAGCAGGGCACTGAATGCCACTTGCTGGAGGACAATAGTGGGGTAGTGATGTTGCCTTAATGTCCTGCTTAGGGTTTCCCAAAGGCACCTGCTGAGCCTCTTCAGGAAACAGGATGCTAGATGACTAAGGGGGTACATGATAGAGGATTATAAAATTATGCATGGGGTGGAGAGAGCTGACAAAAAGAACTTTTTCTCCTTCTCCCAAAATACTAGAATTCAAGGGCATCCAATGAAGCTGATGGGCAGTAGGTTCAAGACAGATAAAAGGAAATACTACTTTACACAGAGAGTGATTAAAATGTGGTATTCACGGCCAGTGGATGTAGTGAGGGCCACAGGAATAAACAGCTTTTAAAGGGGATTCGATAGATGAATGGAGGATAAGTCTGAATCCCAGAGCCAGGAAGCAACATCAGGGGAAGGCCTCAACCTCTATGCCCTGCTGTTGACTGTACAGAAGAACTGGTTGGCCACTGTGTGAGACAAGATGCTGTACCAGATGGACCACTGGTCTGATCCAGCAGGGCTTTTCTTTTGTTCTTATGACTTGAAAGGCCTTTGGTCTGAACGAGCAGGGATCCTCTCCAGGTTCTCGAACTGAACTTCTATGAAATGGCCAGGTGGTTTACCAAAAGTTACGGGAACTATATTATATCTTCACCCAGTATTTAATTAATGACTTGAATCCTGTACAAAAAGGTGGCCTAAAAATACTATGAATAAATACTGTAAGGAGTTTAATTATCACAGGGTGCTGTGATGACTTGTACAATAAGTAATATATTAAAACAGTAAGTTCATAGAAGATCTGGGTGGGGAACCATGGCTGTGATAGCTGAGGTGCCAAAATCACATTCAGAGACAGTGTTATCACCAACTCATAGGATCTCTCTAGGTGTGAATGTCACCTGTTTTATCACTGTCAGTGGTGGTGTACTGAGGTGTTGGGCTGTTTACCTGATGAAAGAAAGAAAGAAGGAAAGAAAGAAAGAAAGAAAGTGCTGCAGACCTATTTTATACATATATTGATTCACATATAGGTAAATGATTGTGTAACATTGCACGTGTGTAAATGAGAAATACACGACAGATTGATTTAGTAACAAATACGGGACCGAGGGCAACCCAGTCCTCCGTGTATCTTCATTATAGACAAGACAAGTGACAGAAATAACCCCTAAATCGGCGAGTTGGGGGGGGGCGTGAGGCTGGATGGAGATCTCTTGTAAGGAACAGGCGAGGATTTGAGTGACACATGGGTCTGTGGCCACCCGGCCTCCTCTACCCAGCTTCCCCCCACCCCAAGCCAACCATCCTCCTGGCTTCTCCCTCTCAAGTCAGCAAAAATACCTTCTCTCCGCAGAAGGCCATATGCGAGTTGGTGGCCGAGGTGATGTCAGCGGCAGTCACCCAATGGGGACCCGCGGACACTGTCCGGGGATCCGGGCCCCGGGCTGCCTCATAAGGACGCGTGCCAGCCCCAGAGCTCGGTGAAGGCTTCTGTACGAGGACGGGTCGTGTGGGCTTTCCCTCCATCGTTGGATACTGTGCGCCGAGGACCATGGTCTGCTGAGAATCCGGAGGAACTCACAGGGGGCACGAGTAACACTCCGTTGACTGCACAGCCGGGGGGAGCAGCAGAAGCAGGCCGTGCCGAAGGAAGGAAGCGGGGGGACGGTTTTAAGCACAGCAACGGGACAGCTGTGGTAGGGCAAAAATGGAGAACGCCCATGCCAAGACTGGAGAGGAGTGCCTGGCCTACTTTGGGGTGAGCGAGCACACAGGCCTCTCTCCGGAGCAGGTGAAGAGGCATCTGGAAAAATACGGATACAATGGTGAGTACCCATCAAAGCCAGAGGCGCCTTTGGTACCCATGTGGCTCGATGCCAGGATGCAAAAAGGGGCATGTGGGTGGGAGAATGGAGGGACATAGATATGAGAACCAAGACACACACCCCCGAAAGATTGATCCTGCAAGAGATGGACAGGTGAATGGCTGTGTGGATCCTGGATCCCAAAGATGGATGGATACAAGGTGGGGCATAGGAAAGGGGGATTCAGTGCAAATAAGAGAAGAACGGTGACGTTATTGAAGGAAGGACAGGAAGGGACAGAGAGAGAGAAAGAGCCTGGTGTGAATTTGAAGCTGGACACAGAAGGTGAACCGGGATGGAGGCTGAAGCAAAGCAGAAGAGAGAGCATTGCAGATAGCAAGAGGGGGAGGCTGTAGCCAGGCTGGGGACAGGGCAGCTGCTGCTTTGCTAAGAATAACCCAGTAATTCCCTTTGGTATGAACTAGATATCAAAATTGCTGATGGGCAACTTGTAGGAGCAGCCGGGAGGTGGTGGGTGGGGGCCAGAGGGAGTTATACATGTTCCTGGGCCATGAAGTGAGGGGTAGATCGGAGAGAGGAATGCAGGCTTAGCAACAAAAATCAGGGATGTGGTGGCGGCCTATCACGCGGAGATCGTCGGGGCCTGTTTTCTGCAGCCTCTCGCCCAGAGTGTGGGCAAGCGAGCAACAGAGACATGGCCGTCCCCTCCTGTTTCCCCTCGCATGCTGTTTTCCGAGATCCTCTTGCTTTTCAGAAAGGAAATGCGGGAAACACACAGGTCCTGGCGTCCCCAGTAGAATCATAGCAAGCAGGTGATAAAAGGGGATTGTGAATATGTACCTAGGTAGGATAGCATGAGCGTACTGTTGGTTGTCATCTACACCAGCTCACGTCTCCACAGTTTTCTTGGGGAATCTTACCGACAAGGACCTCATTCCCTAACTTTATAATTCCGGGGTAGTAGCTCTGATTCCATACCTTCTTTCAAAGCCTTATTCTTTTCTTATCTTTCACCTTTGTGGATGCCCCCTTATTCTCAGGCCATGGCTGGATCCAAGTCTGCCCCATAACCATTCCTATAAACCAAAGCTTGACCCTGGGACTCAATTCCAAGGGTGCAGTTCTGATCCCAGATATTAACTCTGATCTCTGTCTGAGAGGCCCTCCTTGTTGCTAACTTAAATCACAGCTTTCAAACGAGACTTTCCCTGTCTCTACTTTGCCCGGCTGTGGCAACTCAGTCCACAAAGTCCTAATAGCCATGACTCTAACCCGCTCCTCTCTCTCTTTTTCTTTCTCTCTCTCTCAACATGCTGTCACTGAACCCCATAGAACTCCCAGCTGAAGAAGGTAAGCCCTTGATCCACAGAGGGGAGATGCTACATCAGAGGAAAAGCCATTATATCTATTTGGGGCAGGGGGTGGGAAATCTCTCTGCTGACTTTTGTATATTGGAGCTAAAGGCTGTCACATCTCTGTGCTTGACAGGAAAGTTCAGGGCTTCGGCCTTCTTCTCTGGGTCTCGGAGCAAAGAGTAAATGAGGGGCCTAAAATCAAGGGAGCAGGCTGTCTTCTGAAAGCTTTTGCCATTAACTCGTCCATGTTCGTGACCTGGCGCCACCCTATGCCCCAGACAGCCGTACTAAGCCCTGCCCTTAGCCCACTGGTCTACCAGGCACCGCCTCCCAGGCTTCACCCCTGCCCTCGACACCCGAACTCCCTGTCCAAACTAAACTAAAACATAAAATGAAAGTAAACCTTGACCGATTTCCCACAAGCCACTGCTCCGCGCTCGCTCTTCCCTTCCCCCCAATTGTATGCATCAATTTCCCACTATTTGCTGCGCGGCTGCATTTTGAACCGCAGCTTCTCCTGATTTCCCCTGCGTCTTCTCGATCCTCAAAAAACAGGATTGAGTAGACGCGGGGGAAATCGGGTGAAGCTGTGGGTCAAAATGTGGCTGCGTAGCAAATAGTGGGAAATCGATGCATACAATGGGGGGGGAAGGGAAGAGCGAGGGAAGAGCAGTGGTTTGAGGGAAATTGGTCCTTTTATATTGTCTCTCTCACACACACATACACTAGGGACCCTGGAACATGCTCATCTGAGGAAACCCTACTCGTTCTCTGCTATAGTATGATGAAGGGGGTTAGATGCTGAGGCAGCCATGTGGGCCAGCTGTGGAGATGTCAAGACACTTGGGAGGAAGAAGTTGAATCCTTGGAACTTCTCACAGAGAAAAACCAGTTGGCAGGAGTGATTTGGAGTAGAGAAGGGATGAAGACTCCTTACCATTTCTCTGCTCCAAGTTCCCCCTTCTTAGCAAAAACAACTGTCAGACTTTTGTTACCTGTGGTTTTGAGGCCCTTGAAGAACAATGTTAGAGACCTGGCTTCCCCCCCCCCCCTTACCTGACTTTGAGTAGGCCTTACTCAAAAGCTATCTTTGGTCTGGTTTTTGCGGCATAGATATGATTTTGGATGCAGCCATTCCCCCTTCTGTTGCCCTTTCTCCTAAGCTCCTTCCACAGAAACCAGGGAGGGCAGGGTGAATTTGTGCCCTTTCTGCCTCCTCTGAGCCTTTTAATTCCACCATTTCTCACTCGCCAGGCAAGACCATTTGGGAACTGGTGGTAGAACAGTTTGAAGACTTGCTTGTGCGAATCCTCCTGCTTGCGGCCTGCATCTCCTTTGTAAGTGATCTTGGCTTTTGTGTGTAGAGTTTATGTTTCCAATGTGGAGCTGAAGAGAGTCTGTGAAATATTCCAGCCATGGGGAGGAGAGGCAATCAGTTTGGGGGTACATGGGAGAGCTCCCAGATGCTGAGACCAATGGGTTGCCTATTGGGTCAGGGGTCAGCAGCATATAACATGCCAATAGCTGATAATATGAAACATTCATACAATGCTTTCAGTGGTTACCTAAATTACCTTGTAATTCTTACAACACTCCTGTAAAGTAGTTATGAGGCTGAAGTAGCGTGGTGTACGTAAGGCCACCAAATACATGCATGTTGTTGGAGGTGAGATTGGAACCAGGGACACACACACACCAATCATAGCCCATGATCTTAACCGCTGTGCTATACTGGATGCACCAGTTGCTGGGATACACTGCTTTCTTCCGGTCTATACTGGGAGACGTTGCACTGTGGCAAACCACATTGATCCTAGCTCCTCCTAGCAGGTTAATCCTAACTTTCTGAGTAATGGTAAGGTATGATCCATACCTTTGGCTGTGCAGGGATTCATCCTATTACACGTGAAGTCATCTGAAAGAAGAGAGTGCCTCTAAGCTTCTGCAGAGCGACTTCATTTCTCACCGCTTATCACAGCCTGTGTCAGGCATAAGAGGTCAGGTCAGGCTCAGTTTCACAAGCAAGCCTGAAAACACCAGGGCTAGTCTGTATAAGAGCAAGTCCCTTAGAAGACAAAATAGGAATTAGATGCTTTCCCCTCTATTGGCAAGGGCAAATCTGTTTGGAAGTCTGGCCATGGGAGACCAATATCCCATCCTAACTCTTCCCCAAAGTACCAGGGCAGTTTGCTGCCAGTGTGTCTGCAGCAATGCTGGTCTATCTTTTGGATATGCCGAAACAATTTGGAGATACCCCGGTGAAGTGCTTACTCACCACCCTTTTGTGACAAGGCCTAGGACAGGTCTGGCAGGTTCACGTCCCTATTGTTCTTGGAGCTCATTGGCTGGCAGCTCTGGGCAGGTCCTTATTTCGTAGCCTAACATGTTGCACATTGGGTGTGAGGCTACAATTCACTGTTCCGAGTTCACTGGAGGAAGAGTGGGACGTAACTCGACAGGTGTTTGCACCGCCATACGTGCAAATCAGGCTCTTGCTGTGGTTTTGTCTCCTGCAGCTTGAACCTGGTTCCCCTGTGCCTTTGAGCGCCTTTGACAGACCTACTGGCTATTGAACTGAGAGCTGATTCAATGGTCTGTCTTCACCTCTTTCTTTATTTAAAAAAACCCACTGTTGAAATATATATCTGTCCCCTTGTTCCTTCCCATTAAAAAATCGGGTTTTTTAAAAAAATGTTGAAAACCTGCTTTGGGTACTGCAAGGAGGCAGGCGGTATGTTAGTGACATCACTTGTTTTTGGCCAATCACTGCTATGCCCAGCCAGTTTCTATTGCAAACCCATAGAGTTATTTTCACCTGAGCTCTGTCTATTTGGGTATATCTAAATAAAGTGGGGTGAGGGCACTTCCACAGGAGGCTCGCTGCTCAAATGGTGAAAACCTGAGTAAACTGGTGACTGCCATATCTTGATATGGGGACCATCTCCTCTTTGTGTTCTTCTGAAGGAGGAGTTCCCTCAAGTCAATGGGGAAAAGAAAACTCCCACAAATCTTGTCATTCTCACCACAAAAATCTGAGGCAATGGCCGCCGAAGCTTCCCTCCTCTCAGCCGTCTGAGTCTCCCCCATAGCCTGCCCGATAGTTGTGTTCCCGACACTTGAGACGCAGCCTTTGCATGATACTGAATCCTTCAGGAGCACACGGCCTGGCTCAGCAGCTCTAGGTCACTATAAAGGTCACAGTTAACGACCCGGTTCTCATGTCGCCTGGGCCCTACTCCTCAGAAACTCCAGGAATTTGCTTTGGAGGGTGGACACTATGACATTGTACCCCACTGAGGTCGGTGTCTTCCCCAGGCTCCACTCCCAAAGGATCTCTAGGAGCCGGGGGGTTTTGTCTTTTTTTTTTTTTAAAGAGGTGCCAGAACTCTTTAAAGAGGGAAATGAAGTCTTCAATCTATATACTGAAAACTCATGAACTTTTAAACAGTTTTAAAAGAATTCTGTTGAAGAGGTTCCAGAACTATGTTCTGGCACATTCCGTCAGAAAAAAAACCCTGTTAGGAGCTTTCCAACCTGGAGGTGGCAACCACCACCACTGCCAGAGGCCGGGGGGATCCTGGTAACCCTACTGGGGGTATATGGTGTGTCCAGATTAGGAAGAAGAACAGACACGTTTATTTGCTGGCTGCCTTATCATAAATATGCAACAGACTTTCAAAATAAATGAATAAATAAATATGGCAGAAGGGACACTGCATACACGGGGGACGGATAAAACGAGATATCGTTTTCTTTCTCTTTTTAATTTTTTATCTCTCTCCATTGTATATTCCGTGCTAGCGAGTCCTGACTTCTAGTATTTATTTCCTGTTCTTTGGCTTGTGTTCAACCACAAGCCCTCTGGAAACATACGAATTAAACATGAGCCAGTTTAGGAACATTTGCATTCAGGACCATTTGCAACGTGGAGCTCTTGATTCCCAGTGTGGCGGTTAGTTTAACTCCTTTAGGATTCGAGCAGCGAATTTTCGAACTGGAAATCAGCAGAAGGAAGTCAGTTAGGAGGAGAAAGGGCTAGCCAGTGCTTGGCGACCTTAACTGCAGAGCTCCCTGAACTGGCCCACAGATTTTGCCTTGGCTTCCAAAAAAATCACATTACTAAGTAGGGTTGCCAAATGCCAGGTGGCGAGCAATGTTCCCTCTAAGCTGTGGAGTTTTGTGAGCAAAAATTCTTCTTTGTGAGTTACGGGCATTGAAGTTGTGAGGGAGCTATTTGGCTACTGTATAAATTAGTTTGCTCTTGGGCCGTCCTTCCTGAGCTAAGACAAAAATGTGTGAGCTGGAGGCTACAAAACTGGGAGCTAGCTCACACGAACTCAGCTTAGAGGGAACACTGGTGGGGAGTGGTGATCTCCCACTATTACAACTGTTCTCCAGGTGACAGAGATGAGTTCACCTGGAAGAAAATGGCCACTTCGGAAGGTGGACTCTGTGGCATCGTACCCCACTGAAGTCCCTCCCCTTCCCCAAAGCCCACCCTCCTCAGGCTCCACCCCCAAAATCTCCAGGTATTTCCCAACTTGGAGCTGGCAACCCTACATTACTAGCAGCTTTACTAGACTATTTTCTGTGTGTTAAATCTCAGACGCGAGTACGGGAGCCATGTTGGTCCCACACTACCCCTGTAGCTACACTAGGCTGAATATCCACTGTGCCTTAGTGACTTATGCATCTGTACATACAGCTCCCTCCAGCAGAGGGTAGTATGGAAGCTTGCACAAACACCTTTGCACCGACACACACCTTCCATCCACATTCGATGCTGGCTGTTGCATGCTTGCACCTAGTAAGATAAAGGTGAAGGTTCCCTTGCTCGAAAGCCGGTTGAATTCGACTCTAGGGTTGCGGTGCTCATCTCCGTTTCAAAGCCGAAGAGCCAGCGCTGTCCAAAGACATTTCCGGGGTCATGTGGCCGGCATGACTAAACACCAAGGCGCACGGAATGCTGTTACCTTCCCACTGAAGTGGTACCTATTTATCTACGTGCAATTTCTTGCTTTCGAACTGCTAGGTTGGCAGGAGCGCTTGCACCTAACCCCGTCACAATAACACAATATATACATTCGCACACACAAACACACACACGGCGACCGGCTGGAGCCCTTTTTAGAGCACTCTTGGATTTCGTGGGATCAATTTACAGGCTTTTGGAGCACATGGCAAGGGGGCAGGCTGGGTTCAGCTGTCGGATTCCAAATGTCAAGAATCAAGAGGCAGGTTGGATCTCAGGAGGGCGAGGGGGAAGGGGAAGGGCAGGCTGAGCTAGGACTGGGGAAAGAGCGAGAGGCGAGCTAGGCCTGAACAAGATGGAGGCCGAGGAGTCTCCCCGTGACCAAAATCTGTCATCTCTTCTCTTGGCAGGTGCTGGCCTGGTTTGAGGAAGGCGAGGAGACCGTCACGGCTTTTGTGGAACCATTTGTCATCTTGCTGATCCTCATCGCCAATGCCATCGTTGGAGTATGGCAGGTAAACAAACAAATAAATAAAAAGAGCACCTGTTTCAGGTGTCCAGAGTGCAGCAGGGTAGCCATGCTCTACAGGTCTGTAATGGCCACCCCCGTACAGAGTCCGAAGGGTTTGTTATGACCACCATATTGCAAGGTGTAAAGAGAGAAGAGCTGTGACCTGCATGGCCCTTGGATGGGAGGCCACCGAGGAAGTCCAGGGTTACTACCCAGAGGCAGGCAATGGCAAGCCACCTCTGAACGCCTCTTGCTTTGAAAACCCAAGGGGGGGGGGGGGGTCACCATAAATCAGTGTGACTTGATGGCAAAAAAAAAAGAGAGAAGGGGAAGGTCTTGAGCACAGGTGAGGGACAGTGATGGTGGGGGGGACAGACAAGGGACTCGGAAAATAGGGTTTAAAAACCCTCTGCGTTCTACCTGGAGGACCACCACCTCTGAAACAGCCTACATTGTTGTATTTTTGTTGATTTACTCAGGGCTATTTTTGGGCAGGAACGCACAGGAATGGAGTTCCGGCTGGCTCCTGAGTTGGCCACGCCCACGAGGAATTCATATTAGCATAGTAGGCCACACCCAACAGCAGAAACTCATTAGGATTGGCTACATTAGGGGTGTGTGGTCTAACATGCAAAGAAGTTCCTGCTACAAAAAAAGCCCAGGGTTTTGACAACAAACAAAGTAAACAGAATAAGAAGCAAAAAGTGAGTGTGGTAACATGGGGTGTGGCCTAATATGCTAATGAGCTGTGATGTCAGGGGTGTGGCTTAATATGCTAATGAGTTCCTGCTGGGCTTTTTCTACAAAAAGAGCCCTGGTTACTCGTTTTGGGAAAAGGGAATGGGGCAATGAGGGACGACCTCCTTTGTTGTGGTGACCTGGTTGTTGTGGGAAGGAGAGCATTGGCAGGTAACGAACGGTGGCTTTTCTGCTCGCAGGAGAGGAATGCTGAGAATGCCATTGAGGCGCTAAAGGAGTATGAGCCTGAGATGGGCAAGGTGTATCGGTCGGACAGGAAGGCTGTGCAGAGAATAAAAGCCAGGGAAATGGTTCCCGGTGACATTGCAGAGGTGGCAGGTGAGTGCCAGGCTGAGGGAAAGGGTTGCAGTTACATGGGAGTGGTCTTGTCCAAGGGAAGGCTGGACACAGACTGACTGTCAGAGCCAGGGAGACGCTGGGAAGGCAGGAGGTGTCTTTCACGCTTTTAAAACCCCTGTCTCTAAATCTGACCCACAGTGCAGCTTTCTCCCAACTTAAATCTGAATCTGAAGGAGTGTACATACCACGTCTCTCAGTTCTCCCTTGTTCCCAGCATTGAATTTGATTTGTCTTGTAGGTGCCACGGGACTCACACCTCATTGTTCCCACATCTGTTTGTTAACTCTTGTATTTGTATGCTAATTTACTGCCATTCACAGATCATTCCTACATCCAATCTCAGCTATAATCACCCAGTACTTATGCATCTTGACTCTAAATGGCCTTTCCTGACAACAACTCCCACCCTACCCCCTATAAGTAATGGCTGAGCAGGTTCTGTTCCACTGTATTTGAGGAAGTGTGCTTGTACACGAAAACTTATACTGTGAATAAAACTGTGTTGGTCTTAAAGGTGCCACTGGACTCAGACTTTGTTCCAGTACAAATACTGTCACTAGAGAAAGTAAATGGTGTCACTTGAAGAGATGGCCACTCTCAGAGACCTGCAGCCTTAGGCTCACCTGCAGAGGTGAATCAGGAATGCGCACACTTATTTGTCTGTTGTTCATGTACTTTTCATGATCAGGAGTATTTTCCCTAAAAGGAAGATCATAGGAAGACAGGGGAGCCAGGGTTCTTTTTGTAGCAGGAACTCCTTTGCATATTAGGCCACACACCCCTAATGGAGCCAATCCTCCAAGAGCTTACAGAGCTCTTCTTACAGGAGTTACTGTAAGCTCCTGTAGGGGTGTGTAGCTTAATATGCAAATGAGTATTTGCTACAAAAAGAGCCCTGAATGCGCACACTTATTTGTCTGTTGTTCATATACTCTTCAAATAATATGGCTCATTGGCAGAGCATCTGCTTGGCATGCAGAAAGTCGCAAGTTCAACCCCCACATCTTCAGTTAACTGGATCAGGTCGTAGGTGATGTGGAAGGCCTTCCCCTGAAACCCGGGAGAGCTGCTCCCAGCCAGAATAGACAATAGTGACCCTGGTGTAATGTTTGGTGTAGTGGTTAAGAGTGGAAGACTCTAATCTGGAGAACCAGGTTTGTTTCCCCCCTCCTCCACATATAGCAAGCTGGGTGCCCTTGGGTCAGTCACAGTTCTGTCAGAGCTCTCTCAGCCCCACCTACCTCACAGGGTGTCTGTTGTGGGGAGAGGAAGGGAAGGAGATTGTAAGCCGCTTTGAGACTCCTTTGGGTAGTGAAGGGCAGGGTATAAATCCAATCTCTTCTTCTCCTCCGCCGCCTCCTCCTCCTCAGACTAAAGGTCAGACTCAATATAAGGCAGCTTCATGTGTGTGGTCATGTTCAGCTTGAAAAGGCAGATGAGGATCACCTAGAGTGCTCTTCTGCTTTGCTTCCTAGAGAGGATGTAGTCTCCTGCATGGGGGGGGGGCACCTAGGGAAGAAGAGGCCATGAGCCTTATTCTGGCGACATTCGCAATGGATAATGAAGGCCAAGAACAGGGGCACAGACTCCAGATTATGATCAGATTATGGCTGATTTATTCATTGACTTCATTTATACTGTACCAAACTCCCCAATGGGGTTCCAAAGCAGCTTACGCTGTTCTCCTCTCCCCCATTTTATCCCCACAACAACCCTGTGAAGTACACAAGGCTGAGAGTGTCTGTCTGGCCCAAAGTCACCCAGTGAGCTTTTGTAGCAGCGTGGTGATTCAGACCTGGATCTCCCAGACCCTAGGCCAAGACTCTAACCACTAGATCACATTGGCTCTCCCGTTGGGGATCCATGATGAGGCAGGGGGTAGATTAGGGCTGTGGTGCTGGGGAAGAGAGAGTATCTTTTCACCTACGCCATCTCCCCCATTGAAAATGCCCTCCCACGCCGATTTTAGCCCTTGTAAAGGGAAAAGGCAGGTACCCATATTGACTCAGGAGGCGGCAGGATTGGTGGTAGAAATCCGAAAGTTTTGATTGAGGGATTGTTAAATTGATACTTAGAGAGTATTGGGGTTCTGTTCTCTGGTGTCAGTTTTCAGTGTGGTGGTAAACTGTGTCTGGCCTGTACCACTTCATGGCGGGGCTCCCATGTTTGAATGGTCCTCCGTGCAAAAATATTCCCTCCACTCTGAAAATTAGAGGTCAGGGAGAAGGCTTCTAGACTTACCTTCTCACTCACATCTAGTTTTTTGTGTGGAAGAGGACTTTTTAAAATCCCTACCTGCTGCGTGAAGTGGTACAGTCCAAACATAACATTACAACCACCTCTTTGATAATGAGGCCACTGCTGGAAGAGTGAACAGCGACAGAGCTGGTTAGATTCAAATATTTGCGATGGAAAAGTTGTAGAGCCCGGACAAGATGCTGGCTGAAGGAAAGATAACCGTTTTCCAGGATAGTGCATGAATAGCTCTAGATAGCATAGCAATTAACTGTGCTCCATAAAGGCAAGTGGGCTTCTTGCCCCGGAGAAAAGATGAAAGCAAAATATTGGGACGTTGCTTCTGCCCGGGGGGCATCAGGGGTACGAAACGTTCTCCATTGTTTGGCATTTGTATGACATCGATTTGGTGAACATCACGATGGCCCAGGTTAGGGCAAGAAATGGTTCAGGTACCAAGTTTCAAATGTGCAAACTAATATCCTCTGATAATATCACAGTATGAATCCTTCTATCGGCTTTGAAAATGTATTTAATTTATTTGGGCATTTTAAAGCCAGTTTCTCCTCACTCGGTGTTGCAGAAAACTCCAGTCCGTGCTAGTTCTGATTACCCACGCCTTTTCCTTCCCCTGCCTTCTACTTACTCTCACTGGTCTCCCCCTCCCCCGCCACCCAAAATGTCCTCCTGGACTAGGGTTGCTAGGTCTGGGTTGGAAAATACCTGGAGACTTTGGGGGTGGAGCCAGGAGAGGGCGGGGTTTGAGGAGGGGAGGGGCCTCAGCATGGCACAATGCTATAGAGTCCACTCTCCAAAGCAGTCATTTTCTCCAGGGGAAATGATCTCTGTCAGTTGGAGATCAGTTGTAAAAGCAGGAGATCTCCAGGCCCCACCTGGAGGCTGGCAACCCTATCCAGGACCAGGCAGAGAATCCCCATCCTAGTCCCCCTCCCTGCATTTCCTGAGCCACTATCAGGATCAACCAATTGTACAGTGCTGGGCCGGAGCAGTAATTACCCACAATCCCTAGGGAGCACTGCTAGGTCCCTGTGGGGTCAGCTCCTGCTCTCTGTTAACCTCAAGTCCATGGGGTATATTGGAAATGCTGCTTCAGCAAAGTCTTGGTGCCCCCCTCCCCATTCCTGTCCCTCCATCATGCAGCTTGTTTACTCCTTGGGCTTGGCCTGTCTTGACCCTAGGGTGGGGGCCGAGGGAGAGGGGAGGGGGGATGTTTTGGGAACAGACAGTCCCCATGGTGCTCGCAGGCTGGAGGCGGAGCATTGAAAACAGAGCCCTGAGGAATCCCCTTCAGCTGCATTTACTGGGGAGCAGCTGTCCCTGAAGCTGGGCCCACGGCCAAACCGGCCCCTCCCGTCCATCTGAATTAGTTTAATTCAGAGATCGTTTACTCACCGGGCTAGTTGCACAAGTGGTTGCAAAATATAATGGGCACCCACATATGCTATCCTGCTGCAGCTCTTCTTGGGAAGGGGGCAGCCTCCCTCAGGTCTTCCTCCCCTCCACCGTCCCCCCCTCCGGTTTATGGGAGTATCAGATATTCTCTGGAGTTGCTTGAGTTTTTGTGCTTTCTGCCTCTTTGCACCTCCCCGGCCAGGGCCTTCCTCACTGACTTCTCTCAGAAGGTCTATAAATGACAGTGCATGCCCGATGCACGGGATCCTACCAGCTTTTATAGGTCAGGTCATTTCGAGAAAGTTCTGACACACTCTTCTCTGTGTCATAACGTAGGGTGGAACATGCCTGTTTGTGTGTCTGGAAAGACCATCAGCAAATCCCAGGGTCCCTATGCAGAGGCAGGCAATGGCAAACGTCTCTTGCCTTGAAAACCCTACAGGGTCACCATAAGTCGGCTGCAACTGGATGGCACTTCACACACACACACACACACACACACACACACACCTCTCTCTGCCACGCTCAGGACCAATGTTCCCTCTAATCTGTGGAGTCTTGTGAGCAAAAATTCTACTTTGTGAACTACTTGCATTAAAGTTGTGAGCGAGCAATTTGGCTCTTGCATAAGTTAGTTTGTTCTGGAGCCGTCCTTCCTAGGACAAAAATGTGTGAGCCGGAGGCTAAAAAACTGTGAGCTAACTCACACTAACTCAGCTTAGAGGGAACACTGCTCAGGACTGGCTCCTGTGGATCACTTCAACTCCAAGAGGAGCTGCCCTCTGGCAGGAGGAGGCTTTCCTTGAGCGTCTTCCATCGGGGAAGGCTCCTTCCGCAGAAGAGAAGCACCTCCACGAGCAGAACGGATCTGCTGATCACAGCCCGCAATGGTTGTTTAGTCATGACGACTCTAAATTCTGCCCTCCCTTATCTTCAGTTTGTGAACAAGGAACCTGTATTTTTCTTTAGGGGAGTTTTAAGAATGTGAGTAACAGGCTGAATAGCTCGGATGAACTAAGTCTCATCAGTTCTCAGAAGCTAAGCAGGGTTGGCCCTGATTACTACTTGGATGGGAGACCATATAGGAAGACCAGGGTTGCTATGCAGAGGAAGGCAATGGCAAGCCACCTCTCTTCATTTCATGTCTTGAGGGAGCTGCCATAAGTTGGCTGCAACTTGACGGCACTTAATGATTAAGAATGTTTGAGGTCTCACATTGTGTCAGGTCAAGGGGGCCCATCTAGTCTTCCATACGGGGTTGGATCCCGTTCTGGGAACAGAAAGGTGGTGGTGCGATGCTTCCTTCCTGCTGCAGAACTCTGACCCCTCCCTTTGCTGTTCCTGTGGGTACCCTGTCCCCTAGGAGTAGCATTTTGGGGTGCAGCAGTAGGGGGAAGGTGAGAAAAGCATACTCTGCCAATGGAAATGCCATCAATTTGTGGAAATGTTCTGCAGGATCCAAGCCTCTGCATCCAACAGTGGCCTAAGGGAAGCTCCCAAACAGGGATAGCTAGTTGGTGTAGTGGTTAAGTGCACGGACTCTAATCTGGGAGAATTGGGTTTGATTCCTCACTTGTCCACTTGCAGCCATAGTTCTGTCAGAGCTGTTCTCTCAAGGACAGTTCTTTTAGAGCTCTCTCAGGGTGTCTGTTGTGGGGAAGGGAAAGGAAAGGAGTTCGTAAGCCATTCTGACACTCCAAGTGAAGGGTGGGGTATAAATCCAATCTCCTCCTCCTCCTCCTCTTCCTCCTCCTCTTCTTCTGTTTCCTCTAAGCTGTGGAGTCTTGTGAGCAAAAATTCTACTTTGTGAGCTACTGGCATTAAAGTTGTGAGCAGGCGATTTGGCTACTGCATAAATTAGTTTGCTCTGGAGCCATCCTTCCTGAGCTAGGACAAAAATCTGTGAGCTGGAGGCTAAAAAACTGTGAGCTGGCTCACATTAACTCAGCTTAGAGGGTTCGTCCCTTGCATCTGTTCTGTGGTGAACTGCCTCAGATCATGGAGGTTCCATTGCTAACTATGGCAGCTACCACCAGATTCCGTGCTTTGTAGCCTCCTTTTTGGAAGCTGTGTACTTAGGGCAAAGGATCATAGGGCTCTTGGATCTCGTATAGAAAATGGAATAGCTCAATATGGGTAGCCATGTTCGTCTGTAGCAGTAGAAAAGAGCAAGAGTCCAGTAGCACCTTAAAGACTAACGGAATATGTGGCAGCGGATGAGCTTTCGTCAGTCACTGTTCACTTCTTCAAATATAGCTAGAATGTGAGTCCATCTGTCCTATATATTGGAAAGTGGAGTGATTTCAGATGCCAAATGACATTAGCAGGTAAATGACAATAGTAGGTGTGATTGGATTAGGTGTGCAGAAAGGGAGTAGGTGTGGAGGAGTCAGCATTGGTAATGAGACAGGAAACCTAGGTCTTGATTCGGTCCAGGAGGATGCATTGTCTTGGGTTGTAATTCAGCAATCTCTCTTTCTAATCTCCCTTTGAAATTTGAAAAGGGAATGATAGGGAGGGCAATTTTTATAATCTAATTCCCTCTTATATGGGCAAATGGTATCCCACCCCCCCAGTTGTGAACTACTCACTGGCATCTGGCTACCTTTCTTCTGCTCATTGGCATCACAGTATTCAGTGGCAATGAATTCCGCAGGTTAATCAGATACTTTGTAAAGACATGATAGACCTTGCTCTTGACTATGTCACTACAGAGAGCATGGACTCAATAAAGAGATAGGTCTGAGAAGAGATCCGCAGGGCATCTGTGTCCTGGAGTTGCTCATCTGCCAACCTGGAGTAGCTCGCCTAGTTTTTAGTGCTGACGGCCAACCAGTTTTAGCATCCGGGGGTGGGGGGTGGGGGATAAAGGAACATGGCCTTTGCCACCTCCATCCCAGCCTGGCCTGGCCTGCAGCTCCCCTCCCTGTCAGGGCACCCATGACCTCTCCATCTCCTTGAAGGAGAGAAGGCAACGGGTGGTGGGCTGATGCCCAGCCACCGACTTCGCCTTGTATGGACAATGGCAGGCAGCTGGTGATGCCTGGAGAATGTGATGAGACAGGCAAGGAGGGATCGAGAGAGACACTTAATGCGGTGGCAGAAAAGCGAGCTGGGGTGCACGGGGACATCTAGGGTTACTGTGCTCTCTGAGGTGGAAGGGGTGGCAAGCAATGGGGGGAAAAGGCAGGTGGGGGTGCTGGCTCCTAGAAAACCTACCTCAGGTCTCCCCTCCTGGACTCTTCGGCCCTGAGAGATTCCTCCCCCCCCCCATATGTTTCCCTGGGAGCTTCTCTCTTGGCTCTGCACGCCTGTAGAAGGCTTCCCTGCTCAGAATCAGTACACACTCCCTGCCAGAAGATCGTAAACTATTCAGGAAAGGCACCTGGGCAGTATGTTCATCTCAGAAATAACTCTGTCACAGGAGAACTTGCGAGGGAAGTTCTGGACAGGAGGGATATAAATATGGGGGACAGGGACTGTCTGACCCTTCTGTGTGGAGGTGGAGCTGCTGGGTTGAATTAGTGGGAGCAGAAAAGGAGGAGGCGAATGTCCGATGGGGGGGGGGGAAAGGGGTTAGTAGAGCAATGCTCCCTCTAAGCTGGGGAGTTTTGTGAGCAAAAATTCTACTTTGGGAGCTACTGGCATGAAAGTTGTGAGCGAGCAATTTGGCTACTGAATAAGTTAGTTTGCCCTGGAGCCCTCCTTCCTGAGCTAAGGCAAAAATGTGTGAGCCAGAGGCTACAAAACTGTGAGCTAGCTCACACTAACTCAGTTTAGCGGGAATACTGGTGTAGAGAGGTCCTTTATTTGAGGCTCAGTTGTTAGGAGGGAACGGAAGACAGAACAGGCCTGTGTTTTTCTGAGCAGGACATTTTTAGGACGGTCTGTGGTGGGCCGAAGTCCCCAACTAAATTTGAACTGTGGTTTCCCTCAACATTAAGTCAAACCATAGCAGACTTCCTCTGAAAATTTAAGCTCATGTGGTAATGAGGAGGGGATCAGTGACAGAGTACATGATTTGCATGTAGAAAGTCCCAGGTTCAATCCCCAGTAGCTCCAGTTAAAAGGTTTGGGGAAATGCCCGTCACTCTCTGACGCCATGGAGAGTTGTTCAGCCCTAGATGGTACAATAGTTTGGCTGCATAGGGAACAACCTCTTTATATTCTTAATCAGGATTAAATTGAATTTGGATGCACTACAACCAAATAAATATATATTGCAGCTGACCCTGAGTGGCCATATTTTAAAACAGAAGGCGTAAGCGCCTTTTAATCAACTAAACTTGATTCTCCTTTTAATCATCTCCTTTTAATCCTTTTAAATGTTTTTATTTAATTCAATTACATGAAAAATAAGCAATCCAAATAGTTAACAATATAATTAACAATACTAAGAATCCGGCCAGGGTTCTACAAAACAAAACAAAAGTTTCACAGTAAAATCAGTAAAATTAAATCACTTTCCCCCATAACAGCCAAAATCCTATAATATTGCCAAGAGCAAAACTTCTAACATTCTAGAATTCTAGTTACAAATATGTTAATTGTTGATAAACAATTATTGCTTGCTCTGTTGTGTATTGTTGAACCGGATACCAAATCACCATGAATTTTGATTGATAATTTATTGTGATATATTCTGTTAATTTCCCCATTATAAACTGATCCCAAAGTTTCCTGTGCCAGCTAGTTACTGAAGGGGGGGAATGATTTTTCCACTTTGATGCAATAGTTAATTGAGCAGCAGCCAATAAAACTTTTTAAAATCCTTTTAATCAACTCCTTTTAATCAACTAACAGCAATGGATTGCATTTGCTTCTGCAAACTGCAGACTGAAAATTCACAGTTCAATAAACTGCAGGCTTTGAAAATTCACAGTTCAGTTTGCATAAATCCTTTTAAAAGAGTTAAAGTGGAGGGGGGGTTGGTCAAAGTAAAGTATTAACATTTTTGTCTTTTTAAAAAACTTGTGTGGAAGTGAAGCTTCCATATCGCAAGAGGGGTATGTTAAAACACAGGAAAATCTGTAACAATTGCACATACCGAAGTAGCATAACCAAAAAAAGGGGGGGCAAAGTTAGAACTTTTCTCCCTACCATGTAGTTTTCTGTGGGCAGTGGGGAAGATTGATACATGGAGGAATGTATCATCATCATCATCAACATCATCATCATCATCTTCTTCTTCTTCTCTCTCTCTCTCTCTCTCTCTCTCTCTCTCTCTTTTAAGTGGTACAGTACGGGAACATATTTACAGTCTCATCTTTCTAGGTCTGACCTGGGTCCTAACTTTGGCTAAAGACAATCAAGGCTTCCATTCCCACATTGTATGCACATTGTCAAAGAGAGTTTGTGGAGGCCTTTTTTTTTTGGTAAACAACGCAAAAAACTAAATGTAACAACACACCACGAGCAGCGACCCCTCATTCAAACCTTCTTCGGCTCTCAGAATAAATCCAGTCTCTCTGTCTCTCTCAAAAGCCATGTCACTGTTCACTCTTCCCTTCCTTTGCCCTTACTTGTCCTGATGATCTCAGCTACACCTTTGGAGATTTAATTAACCTACACCTGGGTGATTTAATTGACACATTCATTGGATTTGAGCCTGTGTCTTCTGCCACCCTCCAGTGGCTGTCATCTGGTTTCTCTGGGCTACCTTCATTTCCCATGGCATGGAAGGTGGCACATTCCAGGACTCCACTCTGCTTACAGTGCTTTCTGCTTATCTGAGGCCCCTTGGCTTTCTTGCTTGGAGTGGCTAGTCCATGAGGTGGGGAAAAGGGCTGATGCAACCTCATCAGGGGGGGGGAGGTGGTCTTGGGGCAAAGATAAGAGATGTGAGGTGGGGCTAGGATCTCTCCATCTTTGGCAGTGTTTCCCCTATATATCCTTTTCCCAGAATTAAAAATTGAAGGCATGCTTCACCACTCATGGCAAGGTGAACCTGTAGAATGCAGAACTGTCCTCTTGTTCTGGAACCTTCCCTTTGTATGTCTGCGTGAGACACTGTTCTGGCCAGGCCACCTGGATTGAAAAAAGACAACCCTCTGAGCAGTGTCTCTTGCAGAGGCCACAACATGCAGCCTCTTCTTAGGAAAGGACTGCATTGAGACTGACGGAATGATCCAGTCACACCCGATGAAGCAAAGGCTGACTAGAAGCAGAACAGTGACTCGTGCAGAGGTTCAGCA